ATATCCTAGTCGTGGAGTAGCTGTTGAGGGAGGGTTCCGCTTGAGCAATAAACTGGATTGGTATATCATGTCCGGGTGGGCGCCTGCCTACCAAAATTAATAATTTCGGTTTCAATCAACAGGTCAACGAGCCCTTGGCTCAATATGTAGGGCGCTAGACTTCTACCGAACGAGTCACCTGTTCAAGCCTCAGGGGTTACTAAACCTGAGGCCAGAGAGGGCTGGCTGATGATGTTAAATAAGTCAGAAGAAGTCATTTGCAATCCTCACAGTCTTTCTGCTTATGCTATAATGTCTCCCTTTTATTTGCCGGCAACACTATCTGGCCATACTATCAGCTATTACGGGTGTCAAGACCTCTGCCGTGGCCCAAGCCAGAGTGGAACAGATGAGTTCCGTTAGCGGTCCGGTTAACGTCCATCAACAAGTGTTCATATTCCCTGACCTAAACCAGCGGGGCCACGAGCTCGTGGCTCAATGGTTAGAGAGTTGGTATCTGATCAAAAGGGTCGCGACTTCAAGGTTCGGGTGGGGCACCACTTGGGTCTGTGTATGACTAGCTGACGACGGCTAATAAGCCATAAATGACCATTCTAGTCTCTCCTGTCTTTGCCGGCAATACTAACTGACTATAATACCCGAGGAGAATCGATAGCGATTCCATGATTCTGGACGAGGGTGCTGGACGTATAAACAGCAGGTTGCGTTTTAAAACCTCATGGACTGCAAAAGCTGTGCTTTGAGTATGGATAGATAAAGACGGTTGATAAATCAAAATAACCACTCCAGTCTTCCTAGACCTTGTGGAGAATATCTAGCAAACGGTAACGTAGCCCACAAGGCTCCGATGCACAGGCTTCTTGTGCGTAAAACGCACGCTCGACAGATACTGCTTCATTACCTACAGTATTAATGCTTTCCAAATGGATTACGGTCAGTCAGTCAGTCAGTCAGTTTATCGAGGGAAAGATAGGCGAACGCCTTTGAACTCCCTGTTGACAATTTAAAGTTTACTGTTCAACTTAAATGCTGAGAAATACGCCTAATAGGCAAATACATACAGTGCAGAGGCCATAACAACTAATCAACCGAAACAATTCAAGTAACAGCAGCTGTGCCAGCTGATTATGGTACTTCCAAAGTTGGTCAACATGGCGGCGTATTTTACCGACAGGTCCGTGGAGGCAATCAGTTTTCAGAAACGGTAATGTATAAGAGCCCGCATGCGATAATAGCAAAGTAGCCAAAGAAAATGAAAAAAATATATTTTCAGATTGAGACAAACACAATAGGCACTTTAACTGATGTATTAAAAAGGTTGGCGGTTGCGCAACATTTGTACCCCAGCTGTTATCGTAGATGTTGGTTAACGCGTACGACAGTTCGGAGAGGGGCGAAAGAACTATAAAAAGCAGGTCTCATTAACGATTTATCGGAAAGTGGGAGACAGTGGATGTTTATGTTTATGAACCCTGAAGATGGACTCCTGTAAGAGTTCAAAAGCTCAGAATAATAAATCAATTGATCTGGTGCTCGACATGCCTTCTTCCTCGTCCATAAAATTACCTGGATCGCGAAGCTTCTCATTCATTCGGGACGTCTTTTCATCTGAAACTCCAGCATCAGTCTGTTCTCAGTCTGCCTTCCTTCTGGCGAGGGTAACTGGTTGGCTTCGTTGCTTACTTCTTTGTTATGTTTTGACTCAGAGGAGCAGAGTGAACCTTTCCGTAGTCATGGCCTCTTCAGCTGACGCCAGTATGCTGCCCACTCCGTCAGCTTAACGAACCTAATTGCTTAAATTGGCGCGGATATGGAAGTTATGGCAAACGTTTTCTTTTTGGATTTGAGATTGCTACAGTGTCTGTTTACGCTTATTTCAGTCATAATTCGGTATTTTCCGTTGAGGCCACGATACACGCTCTAACGCACACAGAAATGGCAGCTTGACCATATTCAAGCTATGCACAAACCTGGCATACCAATTTAACCCAAACTGTGACGGCAGAAGCAGTCGCCATTCGCCTCAAAAAAACCCAATTTTATGTGCGCAGAAAGCATTTGTAGCGGCCCTAAGGCTCCCGTGGCCAAAGGCCTTTTCAACATCCGCTCTCACGCCTCTTTCTACGCCGCGAAACAATGATGAGACAGCGGCATCAAGCATCCAAAGGCCACT